CTCTGCAGGAAGCCAGGGAGAGAGCACCAAAGTGGACATTTTCCGAGGATCCTGAGACCACGCCAGGCTGCCCCTCCCTGGTCAGGGTGGTACAGCTGCCATCGGCAAAGTGTAGCTCTCTGAAACTAACAACTGGGCATGCTCAGGGCATGTGGCTGGCGTCCAGTTCCCCGCGTCCTGGCTTCTTGCCAGGTCTTTCTTGATTAACTTGGCCCAGTGCTTGAGGTCCGCAGCCTGGCCCCTCAGTGCGCGTGGGGAAGACAATTTTCAGAGGCATGTGTTCAGGTGAGGTCTAGCACGGAATCTTCTCTCGGCATGAGTTGTGTGTGGAAAGAGCGCAAGCCCAGTATGTTCAAGGTCCAGGAGGCCCTGAGGGGAAGGCTGCTTGTGGCCTCACTCCGCTGACCTCCCCTTCCTCTGCTGGCTCTCCGAGTTCTCCCAGGTAGCCCCCGGTGCTCTATCTGTCAAAACAACCCGTGGGGAACACATGGCTCCCACTGAAGTAGCTGCCCCCATAGGTGGAGGCCAGGCAGTGCCTGGGCTCGGCTGTGATGGCCATCTGCATGCTGAGGGACGCTGGCAGGGGCACGGGGCACACGTCCAAGGGCTGGAGGGCAGAGTATGGCATGTGCAGGAATGAGCTCGTGCCCCCCGAGAGCAGGTTCCCCGGGCGGGGGGCCCGCAGCGAGTCACGGTAGGCCAAGCACAGGTCTTGCACAGGGGGCTGGCACGCAGCCAGGAGCGACGGTGGCTGGCTGAGGGTGGAGTAGGCGGTGGGCGGCTGAAAAAGCACCTGGGAAGCGGCGGGAGGCGTGCCAGGGACCATGGCCAAGGCCTGGCTCTTGACTGCGACAGCGTCCTTCAAAACATTGTCATAAGTTCTGGAGAAAAAAGACCCAGTGAGTTGGAGATAAGCAGGAGCAGGCCTCCCGGGTGCCGGCTGGGCAGAAGTCACCACCCGCCGCCCAGCTGTGCCAGCTACCCACCCTCTTCCCCCAGCTGCCCACTGACAAAAGTCTCTGGTCACTACTGAGTGAGTGAGTTCCTGGGATGGGGCTCCAGGTGGGGCTCGTGTGCCAATGCCTGCCTGAGTGGATGCGAACAGACTGCGTTTCTGCCTCCAAGGCCCTTCCAGGCTCGGCTCCCCCACCCAGTGGCCCTCAGCTCTCAGATCCCAGGCAGGCCTCCCCCAGGACCTCCCCTTGTCCATCTGAAGGACAAGCAGGGTGGGGGATCTTTTTTGTTTTCCCTCCCCTATCTACCAGTTTCCTCTCCCCCATCTACCAGTTTCCTTTAACTTTTTCTGGGAAGAATAAAACCCAACAGACTGCGAGAACGGCGTGAAGGGAGCTGCAGCACAAGGTCCTGGGGAAAGGACCGTGCAGGTGTGCGCTCTGACTCTGGCACCACCATAAACAAGATTTACACAAATGTGTGTGATACACTTGATGTATGGATTGTTCTAAGCACCTCCAATAAAATGACTTATTAATAAATTTTTAAAAACCAGTGAAGTAGTAAGGGGGTAAGACTTCAAATATTGCTTGTTGTGTAAAAAAAAAAAAAAATATTGCTTGTTGTGTGCTCCAACATTTAAAACAAAAACTGTTAAACTGGTATGTGTTTTGCTGTGTATTTTCTTGACAACGAAATAAAATTTGGAAACGGGAAATAAATAGAGATAAATAAGTGAAATAAATAAACAATATTTAGGGCATAGGGCCAACATTTCAGTGGGCTGGGATCCAGCCCCCTGGCCAGCTGAGTCCAACTTCCAGGACATGGCATCCCTTGCTGGGTGGAAGAGGGACGGAGCACAGCCTTGTTGCTGGCCTTCTGTCCTCTCTGGCCACTCCACTGAGCTATTTTGCCTCCAAAACTCAATCTGTGATATAGGAACCATGGTGCCTTTGGCACCTTCTTGGATACTGAGTGTTTCCTCCTCCAAATTCCAGCCACTTCTGCACGAAGACTGCTTTGTGGCCAGGTCTAAGACAAGTAACCCACCATGAGAGGGCCCAGTGTTACTGGTACAATGATGTTGGAACATGGACCCAACAGTCCCAGCCTTGAGAACACAGAACCTCCAGCCACTGTGCTCAGTACGGACCGAGAAGTCCTCAGTGAACATCACACGCCTCACTAAAGAGAAGCGGTCTCAGCCGTCACTGTAAAACTCACTGCTGAGTCAATAGCGACCCAAGAGGGCAGGGTAGAGCCGCCTCCTTTGAGTTTCCAAGGATGTAACTGTTTACCAGAGTAGAGAGCCCTGTCTTTCTCCTGAGGAGTGTCTGGTGGTTTTAAACTGCTGACCTCTTGGATCGCAGGCCAACGTGTAACCACTAAGCCACCAGGCGAGTTAATGAATAATTTGCCTAGTATGGGCCAAGAATGATGTTATAAATGTCCAGATGGTCCTTGGCAGATAAAAGGTTCCTCACCCCTGCTTCAGAAGGACAAGTACACAGTCCCTCTTGTCCCCGGCTCCTTCCCCTTAACAACTCAAGCCAGAGGCTTCCCCAAATAGGAAGGAGCCAGCCCTCGGATGGAGTCACCATGGCCCATTCAGTTCCCAGCCCTCAGGAAGCCACCCAAGACCAGAGGTGGGTCTCAAGAGCAAGGAGAGGCGGCAGCACACGGGTCGGGGAGGCACTCACACCAGCAGGATTTCAATGCAGACGCTGAGCTGCTCGGGCGAGTAGTGAGAGACCCTCTGCAGGTCTCGGGTCCAGTAGGGAGAGAGCTGCAGGCAGATCCGAGAGGCCCCGACACAGGCGGCAGCGACCACAGACGGCTGGAACTTGTAGAAAACATGGTCTGGAAGAGAGGCACAGAGCTCATAGACACCAAGATGCTGCCCCTCGGGTTTCAGCCCCCCTCTGCCTGCATCCACGGCAGGGTTGGGAACAAACTACGAGGGCAAAGGCTGCTCATGGCTACCCTACCTACCTACCTACCTACCTACCTACCTACCTACCTACCTACCTACCTACCTACCTACCTACTTTATCTGTCTACCAGCTATGAGTTTGGGCCCTGATGGCATAGAGGTTATGCAATGGGCTGCCCACTGTTAAGGCCAGCAGTTCAAAACCACCATCTGCTCCTCGCAAGAAAGAGGTTTTCTATTCCTGTAAAGAGTTACAGTCTTGGAAACCCACAGGGGCCATTCCACCCTGTCCTACAAGGTTGCTACAAGTAGTCAACTCAATGACAGTGAGTTACATATCTAGACATATATAAATCTGCAGTGGTGTGAAATTCCATCTTGAATATTAAACTTCACGGTCCTTAACTAAGGGCTACTCCCTGCTCCCTTTTACTTAAAACGAGAGATGGCCTTTCTCGACTTTGGAAGTTCCCAAATCCAAGTCTATGTTTAGTCTTCTTTGTCTGAGCTGGAAATACTGAAAGGACAACATTGTCCGACTTTCATCACCTCCCAGGTTTCCACAATCTGAGATTTCGGATCTCAGCCATGAGCAGTGACTTTCAGAGTACTGTCAGTGGTTGCCAAGGGTTTGCTGATGGGAATAAACGGAGCCACAAACCATTTGTCCTTTCCTAGGAACATGGTTACTTGGACTCGGATCCTAGTCTGAGTAAAGGTCCCGGACAAGAAGCCCTGGGGGCACAGTGGTTACACAACGGGCTGCTAATCTCAAGGTTAGCAGGTCGAAACCACCAGCCACTCTGAGGGATAAAGACAGGCCTTTCTATCCCAGAAAAGAGCTAAGGTCTTGGAAACCCATAGGTGCAGCTCTACCCTGTACTCTGGAGCCACTGTGAGTCCAAGTCGGCTTAATGGCAGTGAGTCTGACTTTTCGAAAGGTCCCAGGGTGACACAAACAGTGTACTAACCAAAGGTTGTTGCCTCAAACTCACCAAGCAGCTCCGAAGAGAACAGTCCTGGAAAACTGCTTCTATAAATAGTACAGCCAACCCCACCCCATCGAGCAGTTCTACTCTAGCACGTGGGCACCTCGGGTCAGAATCAACTCCAGGGCTATGTGGTGGGGCTGGTTGGAAAGGCGAGGATTCTGAGCAGATTTCAGCAGAACTTCCCAAGACTGACTAGGAAGAAAGGTCTGATGATCTACTTCCAAAGGAGCAGCCAGCGAAAGCTCTACAAAGGTAGGATGCAAGGCAGATCGAGGGTGGCACAGGGCCAGAAGTGTTTCTGTCCACTGTGCATGGGGCCCAGCGAGCTGGGGCTTACTTGACCACAACTGCAACAGTAAAGGCTACTCACTACCAGGAACAGTCCCTAGTCCACGGCCCTGCACTGACATCCAGTCGATTCTGACACGTAGTGCAGATTGTAAATCTTCGCCCTTCACCTGTACATCAGCTGGCTGGTGGGTTCGAATGGCTGACCATGCAGTTAGCAGTGCAACAGCTAACCCACGGCACGCGTGGGAACCCCCCAATCACGCCTAGTTATCAGTGCATGGCCATGCTGCCCTGCGTCATTCAGGCGTTTCAATGACTTACTTCGACGCTGCCCTTTAAAGTATCTATCGGGCAGTATGTGTAATGGTTAGAGCACTGTCCAGGAGCCAGACTCCGGAGCATCGCTTCTTAGCAATAGTCTTGAGGAAGTTGCTTCAGCTCTTAGCATAAACTTCCCCATTTGTAAAAGGATGATAACGGAAAAGGCCTTCACGTGGGCTGTGAGGTGTGAAAGAGCATTGTGTGAACTCAATCGATGTGTGCTTTAGGGCTGCTGGGAGTTGGGGCTGACTCGATGGCAGTGTGATTGGAGCTTTTTAGTTTGTTTGTTTTCAATCATGATGATTGCTGGTGAGCGTTTTCGTTGCTATTGAGGCATTGAAAAAAAAAAAGCACTACCATTCAGTCGATTCTGACTCATAGTGACCTATAAGAGAGTAGAACTGCCCTTTTGGGTTTCTGTAAAAGACTCGACAGCCTCATTTCTCTACTAATGAGCGACTGGTGAGTTTGAACAGCTGACCTGGCTGTTGGCAGTTCAACATGCACCCCACTACCCTACCAGGGCTCATAGTGGGGCACTGGGAGGTGACAGATTTCTGACTGGTAATTTGCCTGATGAGTTGCGGGGTGGTATAAACAAGTAACGTGCCTGTGGCTGCTGACCGAGAGACAGCGGTATGATCTCACTCAAGGCCCCTGGGAAGAAAGGCCTGGCAAAAACATGGCACTGAAAAGCCTGTGGAACCCAGTTCTCCTCAGACCCACCCACACAAGGTCGGCATGAGTCAGACTCAGCTTACTGGCAGCTGGTTGGGGTTTACGTAATAATTCAAATTTTAAAACACTGGGGGGAGTGGGTGTCATGTATGAGTCCCCAAACAGTGACTTTTTGGCTAAAGTGGATGTAACATCACCCTCTGGTGTTCGACCTGTCTGGTGGACAGCTCGTAGGGCATGATCTACCCTGCGTCTGTGCTATGTAGATCACTTGTACTGCGCCAGGTAGTGTAGGGTGTTAGAGGTTGCTCCTCTGTTGGCAGGGCACCGGTTGCCTGGTACTATGTTGTGGGGTGGCATCAGGTTGGTTCCGACTCACAGCAACGCCGTGTGCGACAGAACAAAGCACTGTCCGTTCCTGGGGCACCCCTCCTCACAACTGCTATGCTGCAGCCTCGGCGCCATGTCGCCTCAGGTCTTCCTCTCTTTGGCTGACCTGCTTCACCGAGGAGCTCCGGTGGCATCATCAGGTAAGCACTGGGCTTTCAACCACAAGGCAGGCCCTAGAAGCCCACCCACTGCTCTGAGGGAGGACGAGGAGGCTGTCTGCTGCATGAAGATTTAGCCTGGGGAATCCTGTAAGGAGTCACCTGCGTTGGAGTCGACTCAATGGCAGTGGGACTACCTTACCGTGATGTCCTTCTCCAGGGCCTAGACCCTGGTGGTAACATGTATAAGGTCCGAGGTCTCTTTGAAAGTTTACTGGTAAAACACATTAAGGAGTCGTCGTGCGCTGTGAGCTAGGCATTGCGTTAAGTGCGAGGTCATCAGTTCAAACCCACCAGCTGCTCTCCATGATAAAGATGAGGACGGCTGCTCCTGTACACATTATCGTCCAGGAAGCCCTTTATCGGGTCTCTGTGAGTGGGGTTCAACTGGAAAGCAGCGAGTTGGGTTTGGGTTGGTAACATGCCGGGCCGATTCCCCACCACTCCCTTGTTCATCCCCGTTCTCTGCCTACATACAGCCTAGTGCACCGATGGGGTGGATGGGCATGCCGCACAACACCCTGATCCTGTCCCTGTGGTGGGCACAGGGTACACCTCGCCTCTCTGCTGCCCTCACCTTGCAAGGTGACCTCTAGGAAGTAGTGGGCATATTCCTTGAGGCACTCTTTGGTCTTGCGGGGGCAGGTGCTGGGCCAGCTGTGGCAGTGGTGGTCCTTCTGACTGACGGAGGCCAAGAGGTAGTAGTCCAGGAAGTGGGCAGGCGTGGGCAGGCAGAGGTTCCAACCAAAGGCTTCCAGGAGCAGCAGCTCTGTGCTCAGCAGCTCCTTCTTGGTGAGCGTGACGTTCTGGCTGCTCAGCATCCGAGTGCTGTTTATCTGCTCCAACTTGGGGACGTGGTCTTCCCTGTCCTCGAACTTACCTGTGGGAGAAGCACAAACACTTGGTTCCGACCTTCACCAGAAAGCCAAAGGCCACCATGGAAGAGCCCCAAGGCTGTGGTGGTTATGGGTTAGGCTGCTAATCACAAGGTCAGCAGTTCCAAATCATCAACCAGCTCCTTGGGAGAAGGTTGAGGCTTTCCACTGCTGTAGAATTACAGTGCTGGAAACCCACAGGGGCAGTTCTACCCTGTCCTATAGGGTAGCTAAGAGTCGGCACCTACTCAGTGGTAATGAGTTTTTAAAGGCCACCATACCTGGAAGGGTGCTGGGAGAAGGGACAGAGAATAGAAAGGCTGAAGGGATTACGAGCAAAAGCATACACTCTGGCTCTCTCAGACCTGGGTGCAGATCTCTATACCACTGCTTTCACCTGTGTGACCATAGGCAGGTGTCCCCAACTCTGTGGGCCTAAGTCCCTCATCTGCAAACGGGATAATAATGTGTGTTAGACAGGGTTCTCTAGAGAGATAAAACCAAATTGCTGATAATTTAATATATTTATTTATAAAGACAATTAGATATATAACAAGAAATGAACTGT